TACCTTAGCTAAATAATTACAATAATATTTGCTATTCGCCATGAGTTTATCATCAATAAGAGGTTACCATTTAAAATAAACCTAACCGAGATCTTAAAGTACAAAGGTGGACTTTCATTTTTTTCATGTTAGATTTTGATTTGTATTACATTACTGATAGTTATAATCTATGAATGTATATAAATTTTTAATTATTAGTTTTTATTTATATTAAAATAATATTTGATTAATAAAAATTTTAATTCACAAATATATATCAATTTTTTATTTTTAATTTTAAAATATTATATGAATCGTATTTATGAAGATTTTTTTAAATAATAAAAATTAAAATCAAAATAATTCAAATATAAAAAAATTTTAAATTCGTTAAATTTGTTAAAATTTTCATCCAAAAAGATGACAAAATAAAAATCTATACCTAACAAATTTCCCCACGAATATGCTATATATTTATTCATCACCAAATTTATATCGAATATGCTAATATACTTAGCAAAGTTACCTACCATTTTCTTTGTGTGAAATATGAAAAGAAAAATCCAATAACTTTTGTTAATTTTATTATTTATAGCTACACTTTATTATTCTCTTTAGATTGTTTGCTTTTTTGTTGTCCATGTTTGGTTTTGTTGAGGTGACTCACACTCCCTCTCGTGATAATTGAAGGAATCCAATCCAAATTGAACGTTGGCCCTTAATTTCGTTATCTCGTGCCTACTCCATGTGTGTGAAGCACATTCTTTTCCTATGACATTCATCTATAACGTTGTTCTTTAGTTTCTTTTAATAGTGTTTTCAACCTAACTATGATTAAAGAAAAAAGAAAAGGCTATTTAGTTATTTATTTAAAAACACTAATTAGTCTCTTTCCAACATTTTTAATGCTATAATTTCGACCCATTTCTCATTTAAATTCAAAATAAAATATATCATATTATTATACTTAGAGCTTAGTGAATATCCACCATAGTGTATTTCTTTTTTTATATTGTCACCTAATTAGAAAATAATTTTGATATAAAATTTAAAATAATTATTATTTGAGTTACCAAACTTATTATACATAATTGTTTGTCATCAAATGATGGTGTAAAAATAAACTTTGTAGTTTGTACTATCGGTGATTTTTTTTTCTTTTATTTTATCCTCTCATTTCATTTTATCCAGTTTGATACTATTTTATTTTTAAAACTTTATAATATTATAAAATTTTAAACTTTAGAGTTTTAGATGATAAAATATTACGAAATTAATTATTAAATTTTATAGATTATATCATACTTTGAATATATATGTTAGATATATTTTATAAAATTAAAATATAAATTTGATTTATTGTTTTTCATAAACCCCTTTTTTTTTATAGTTTTCATCTGACTTTTTTAAAGACTCTAACATGACCTATTGATTTATTTAAAAACTGATTTTACAATTAGTCTATTTAAAAATCTATTTCATATTAATAATATTAGATAGGTCAATAAATTTACTTTTAAATAAGTCAATACTTATATTTCTAAATCCACATACAAGTCTTTGTTTAAATACACATGTAAGTCTAAATATTTTTTATATCATATTTGAAGCATTATAAATAACCAATCATGAAAATAAAGAAAAAAGCATAGAAAGATACAACTATTAAAAATTTTATTTTCAATATCTTGATTTCATATAAACAAAAAATATAAAATGTTTAAGTGTAATGAAAATGTAAAAGTATTGATAATTTAATTTTTTGTATTACAAACTTATTCATTTAATTATATAGTTAATAATGTTATATATATATATTATTATTTATTATTATTATTATATCATAAATAAATAGATTGATTTAATTACTTTTTTAATAAATTTATATTCAATCTTTTTAATAAATTTAAATTCAATCTTTTAAATAAATATATTATTTTCTTAAAATTTAAATTTAATTATTTTTATTATATAAGTTAGATTAGACTAAAGTTACTAAATCATAATATAAATTCGTAATTAAAGTTTTACTTATTCTTATCACAATTTATACCCCCATTAAAAAAAAAAAAGTTTCCCCGGTACTATTAAATGTTATAAAAATAATGTCAAATATTTATCTTAAAAAAAAATTATTTTAAAACGGTTCTCAGAACTCGGTTCATCGAATAAGTGGATTACCTATTTTTGTACTAATGTAATAAAACGTAATGTTTACTGTAATGTAGTAAGTTATTTCAGAAGGCCCAAAAGTCCAGTATGAGTGATTTAGTAGCCTAGAACGAGTCGTTCCCAAACTAGAACGGACTGTTCCAAACTACTAAATTGACCTGTAAATCGTAGTTGAGAACGGGCCGTTCTGGATGGAGTACGGGCCGCTCTGGATGGAGTACGGGCCATTCTAGATGGAGTACGGGCCGTTCTGGATGGAGTACGAGGCATTCTGGAAGGAGTACAGGTCGTTCTAGATGGAGAACGAGCCGTTCTGGATGAATCCCAGAATGGACCGTTCTAGTTTCAGAACGGACCGTTCTGCATGTGATTTTTGCACATGATGAGGGGGTGCAGAACGGGCCGTTTCGGATTCGAAACGGGTCGTTTTGGCCACTCCTGAACTTCTATAAATAGGGGTTGTGGGCAGTTGAGGAGAATGAGAGGTTTTTGAGAGAAGTTCTAGAGAGAAGGACTTTAAGTCTGTGGGCTCCTTTCTCTCTCTAATTTCTCTGTATGATTCTTCTTCTCCTCTAGACCACTAATGTCTTCTGTCTTCTCTTGAATTTCATACTAGAAAGCTTGTTTTTGGAGGATTGAAGTTCAAGAGTCAAGCTTGGAGGATATTTCTTCTTCTTTTTCTTCTTCTCAGATTCTTGGCTTTTTAGAGTCAATCTTTAGGTGAGGGAAGCTAGAATGTAGATTGTTTAATTTCAGGAGAGTTTAGGAAGCTTTATGCATGGTGTTCTTTTGTTGAAATAGTTGAGTTGTTGGGTGCTTAAGTTGGTTTATGCTGTTTATATTGTGTAAGTTGACATGATAGTTGAATTTTAAATATATTGTATATTGCTGAAGTTGTTAAGTTGCATTAAGTTGATGTTGTAATGACTATAGTTGTTTAATTAAGTTGTTTGCATGTTGTTAAAATTATTAAAGTTGCATAGTTGTATAATTAAATAAGAAGTTGTCAAGTTGGTATATAATGTCTATTGTTGTAAGATATTTATTGCTGTAAAGTTGTTAAGATGCCTATTGTCGTAAATTTGTAAAGCTGCCTATTGTTGTAAAGTTGGAAAGTTGGGGACATATGGTGAAGATATATGTCCTATGTTGAGATACATAGTACTAAGGTGATAAGTTGAAAGTTGTTTTAAAGTTGAATCCCTTAGTACTGTATGGGCGACATGGAAGTAGTCGATCCATGTAATGGGTGAATGACCAATTTGAGTAAGGTATCTAGTTAGAGATGTAGTCTTTGACTAGGTACTAGAGGGTGCGTGATACTTGGAGGACAGTGGGTGGACTAACTCCATATGTGGATTGGTGATGCTAGCCAAGACTGTGGTAGGCTCATACCCAAAACCTTCTGTCCTTACAGTAGTACTGGACCTCCAAGTCTAAGTGGCACATCTGAGCAATCGCCTATTGTTGTCTATACCTAGTTCTCTTTGGAGTTCCTAATGTTGTTCTATACCTGACCTGGTTGAGATAGGTCAAATGTTGGATTCGGTAGGGTTTATGCCACCTAGACTGTTCAACCTCAGTTGTTGGAGATCTCCCAGTTGTATATGCGTGACGACGCATTAAATATTAAATTGTATATTGTTGTTGTTGTTGTATTAAAGTTGCTTCTAAGTTGTATGAATGAGTTGGGTTTTTATGTTGAATTGTATGGTCGTTTGTGATGATGATTGTATGAATGAGTAGTATAGTATTTTCCCTATACTTGTATGGTTGTTTATTGAACTCTAGCTTACCCTTCTATTTTCATGTGGATGGACTGTTATGATCATACTGTGTATGGGAGAAGATCAAGGCTAGATTGGAGCTGTTGGCTGAGTCCGCTGTTAGAAGTAGAATTTTTGGATCTTAGTATCAGAATTACCACCTTGAGTAACAGTTTTGTACTTGACCGACACTAGGAGATAATAGTTTTGGATAATTGTATAAATACCTAGTACTTAAAAATTTAATTATTCTTATATATTTTTCATATTTTTGTATTTATGAATTATCCAATTTTATTAATTATCTTAATTTACTATTTTTAGTGCGATTACATTTACGCGAAACGATTAAACAGAATTTATTATCTCTCTCATAAGTAGCGTCAAATTAAATTTAATCAAAACTAGTATATCTCTCTTCTTTCCGAGTTAAGTTTATTTCTCGAAAATATAAAACAATTCAATATTTAACATAAAGAGAAATAGAAAAAAAATATTATCATTATTCAGGCTAACTTCAAGATGGCGTATCTCCATGAATTTTTAAAATATAAAATAAAAATGGATTATTAATAATTAAAAAATAAAAAAGTAATTTTTTAAAAATATAGATAATTTTTAATTAATTGTAAGAGTGATTTTGAATGGTTTTAAAAAGTAAAAACAAAAATTAAATAAAAAAAGTGAAATAAAAAGCAGTTTAAACAGTAGTTACATGGATAAAATTGTCAAAAATAATGTGAGCATTTATTATTTTTTATTGGAACTCAAATACTTTGGATCTTTATATTTATTTAAAGATATTTAAAAATTATGAATATTTATTAAATTAAATGATATTATATCTAATTTTTAAATTTTAAGAATTTAAACTCGAGTTTTAGATTTGTAAAGATAGTTATCATTAAAAAAACTACTTCAAAGATTAATATGTATTCAAATAATTAATTGCTATGTAATTAATTTTTATAATAATTAGTTAAAACGTTATTATTTTTTTTACTTCTTTAATATTAATTTCTATCAATTACAATAAAAAAAATAAAATAAAATAAAATAAAGAAAAAAAACAAATGGCATCTCGTGATGAGAATCAGAATAAGCGGATCCAACTGTTGCTTCTGTTATATTCTCTCATCATCACTCACTGCAACTGCAATCCCTTCATCATCGCTTCTTCTTCTTCTTCTTCTTCTTCCTTCATCACCCAACATTTTTATTATTATTATTTTTAATTTTTGTATTAAATATCCATTTCACAATCTCACTTCATTCTATTACAGGTAAATATTTCTCCTCCTTCCTTTTCTTCTTTTCTCACAACCAAGTGTTTTCCATTTCAACATAAGCTTAATTCTAGGTGATTATTTTTATGTTTGTTATAGTTCTCACTAAATGAAACTATGAGATAGATATATAACCATCATCATCATCAAAATTTGAGTTCATGCACACAATCACATGCATAGTCACTTATTAGAGTACCATTTTGATTTATTTGTGGATTTCTGTTCAGGAATGTACTTTACAAAATTTTCATGCAGTAAATTTTGCATTTTGGGGTTTAATTTCTATCTGTAGGATCGAATTGAGGATTGTACAGCATGGATCGACTACAATCTTCTGCTCGGCTCATGATTGTTTCGGATCTCGATCACACAATGGTATGTCTGAATGTTTCTGCAAATGCCCATCTTATTATTATTCAAGGTTTTTAATTGTAGTCGTGATTTTGTTGTGAAATTGTGAAAAAAAAATGTGGCTGATGTGGTCACAATTGCGGTCAATGACACTTCCAAAATCTTGATGTTGTGGTTGAAATTGTAGTCATGGACTGTTATTTAAAACTTGTTATTGTTTATTGTTGGTGGTTGTGATTTGAATGGTTGATGTGTATTGGTTGCAGGTTGATCATCATGACCCTGAAAATAGTTCCCTTTTCAGGTTCAATGCCCTTTGGGAGGCCCATTATCGCCAAGATTCTCTGCTGGTGTTTTCCACTGGGAGGTCACCTACACTCTACAAACAACTGAGGAAGGAAAAACCCATGATAACTCCTGATATAGCCATTATGTCTGTGGGGACTGAGATTACTTATGGTAAGTCAATGGTGCCTGATGATGGATGGGTTCAGTTCTTGAACCAGAAATGGAACAAGGACATAGTCATTGAGGAAACAAGCAAGTTTCCCGAACTTAAGCGTCAGGTATGATTTAAAGGTAGTGATGGAATGATGATGATCTCAATGATTTGTTTCTAGATTGTTTCTTCGGTTCGGGTGTATAGTGTGTTTTGTTTGGTTCTTTATAATTCTTTTGAGGCAGCATCTTAAAATTAAGGAAACAAGCAAGTTTCTCAAACTTAAGCATCAGGTATGATTTATAGGTGGTGATGGCTTGATGATGATCTCAATGATTTGTTTCTAGATTGTTTCTTTCACTCGGGTGTATACTGTGTTTTGTTAGGTTCTTTGATAGTTCTTTTGAGGTAGCATCTGAAAATGGTTTGATTCATAATTGATGGTTCAGGCAGAAACAGAACAACGGCCGCACAAGGTTAGCTTTTATGTTGAGAAAGAAAAGGCTAAGCATGTGACAGAGGCTCTTTCCAAGGTTTTGGCGGGGCGTGGGGTAAGCTATAATGCATTTCTATTCATTGCTTTTGTCACGTAGAATTTTATGTGAAGTTTGAGTATATAAATTGGACTTTTTACTTTTTATTTTGCATGTTTAATATTGTATATAGTTTCATAACATTGTAATTTTTGGCCAGTTGGATGTTAAGATAATATATAGCGGAGGAATTGATTTGGATGTATTACCAAAAGGTGCTGGCAAAGGTCAAGCTCTTGCCTATCTGCTCAAAAAGTTTGAGACTGAGGGAAAGAAACCTACTAATACTCTTGTTTGTGGTGATTCTGGAAATGATGCCGAGCTGTTCAGCATTCCAGGAGTTTATGGAGTCATGGTTGGTGGTTTAACTTGTTTATTGCCATATTTTTCCTTGTTAATAAAAAATTGAGACTGTCTTGCACATAGCATTTGTTGTGTTCATTGTGCAGGTAAGCAATGCCCAAGAGGAATTGTTGCAGTGGCATGCAGAAAATGCAAAAGATAACCCCAAGATTCTTCATGCCTCAGAGCGTTGTGCATCTGGGATAATACAAGCCATAGGTCATTTTAAGTTAGGCCGAAACCTGTCCCCAAGAGATGTTACAGACATTGAAAACGATGTTGAAAATTTATCTCCAGGTGTTGAAATAGTGAACTTTAGTTTGTTGATTGAAAAGTGGAGGCGTGCAGAAGTTGAGAACTCTGAGATGTTTATTGCTGGTGTAAAGGCAACCAGTGTATGTCTGATATCCTTATCTCTACAGATTACCTGTTATGTTTTCTATTTGTGTTTGTAGACTACTGTGTATTTGAAACATTATCCAAATTAACTCCATTTTACCAAATCATTTTTTTTCTTCTCATGAAGTGAATATTCTTATTCTTCTCATCATTAATTATCATTATCAATCTGTCCATTGTGTTTACATGTCTGAAGTATTTTGGTACAATGTTCACTTTTCTTTTGTATAATTTTCTATTTTGATTTTCCCTTTTCTAAGGGAATGTTGAAGAATGTCTTATTTTGGCATATATTTTTCTTTTCTAGCATATCTTTCATCAATATTTAGTGTGTCTTTTTATACAGACAGCAACTTTTATCATTAGCATATGTTATATATTCCACATCTCCAACCATTTCAACAACTTGAAATAAGACATTTCCATGGTTGATTTCCAGGAAAGTCTATTATAAGTTTCTGGAAAAGCTTCTTTCTTTCACTTTCTCTCTCACCTTCCCGCCATAATTATTTGGATCTTCTCTTTCTTGTCTTCCTGTTTCTTAATCTACCAGTGTTTAATTTTTCTTATGACTCGTTTGGTCATGACTTTTTTCATCGTCAAGTCTTTATGTAGGAGTTTTCTTTTATAGAAGTATGTAAATTGTTCTTTCTTTTTGCATACAGCTGCCGTCTGGTGTTTTTATTCATCCTTCTGGTGCTGACTATATTATGAAGGATTATGTGAATGTTTTGAGAAAGGTGTATGGTGACAAACAGGGAAAACAGTTTAGGACTCTGGTGGATAATGTTTTGGCTACACAGTTAGATTCAGATACATGGCTGATAAAGTTTGACAAGTGGGAGTTATCAGGTATGACTTCGTAATGTTTGAATTACTTTTTGTTGTATATGTTCCTTGATATCTCTCAAAATTAGCAATTATATATGTTTGAAAATTACCTTAATTGTGGTCATCCTCGTTCCACCTTGATTGTAGCCTCTTTAGGATGCCTAAATTGCAGCATCGAGGGGATGCGTTTAGTCCCATCGACTAAACATAAGACTTAAGAAATGTTTATAAAGCTTTAACATTCCTTATTTTACAAGTTGATTTTTTTGGAATTAAACAAGGCCCTAATAGTTTATTTTTTTGGAATTGAATTCGGCCCTAATATGATATCAAAGTCTATCTTAGATCCTTGTTGCGCCACTTGCATTGCCACACTCCAAGTCCTAACTGGGCATGAGGAGATGTATTGAAAAGCTATTTTAATTGTTATCACCTTTATCCCGCCTTAATTGCGACCTCTTTAGAATGCCTTAAAGGGAGCATGAGGGGTGCGTTTAGTTCCATATCGACTAAAGGGCTAAGTAATGCTTATAAAATTAACAATCTTCACCCTGAGTCTAAATTCTGAAAGTATATCTTGTTGGTATGTTGGGATTATTTTTATGAATAATCTATCTGCTGGAAGTTGTGGTAGGACATTACCTTTTTACCTAATGCTAATTTGGAAACATTTCAGGTGAAGAGAGGCAGGGTTGTGTTGTCACTGCCGTACTAGGCAAAAAGGTAAGTATGTTGTAAATTGTAATGCATCAACTATTTTTCATATCTTGTCTATAATTTTTGCTGAGAAGAATGAAATCTGAGTTTCAGGATTCGGATTGGTTCACTTGGATGCATGTGCACGAGACCTGGTTGGAACACTCAGGGCAAGGTGAATGGTTACTTTAGTTGGCTCCTACAAATATCCATGTTCCCGAGCGTCTTATGATACCTTTTGCAATAAATGTAATGTAATCAATCCAATGACATACTAATACTACACCTGAGTTTTTTAAAGACCTTCCATCATGTGAAGGTGTCTCATATCATATGTATTTGAATTTTTTTGTAAATCTTTTCTGTTTGCATAGCTCTCATGAGAATCAAATTTTAACATTTTGGCTTCAATTATAGGTCATTTGAATATGTGGTTGTATATGGTTTTTATTCCTTTTCCCTCTCCTTTCTGCTGAGCTGAGCGGTAACTTGCATAACTAATAGAATAGAAAAAAATAAAATACTTTCTTGCAATGGAGTTAGAATAATTGTGTGTTCTGTAAGTTTTTATATTAAAATTCTTTAAAACAATGGTAGAATCTGCAGTGCTATTCTGGCTTTTACTTTCGTGTTTGTCTTTGCTTGAAGCTCCCAAATGCCAAGTGTATAACTAAGAGTTTTTATTTATTTATTTTTTATTTTCCACTATTTTTTTAAAACTTAGTCTTAGACTAATCTGGTTTGTTCAGAGATAAATAAAATCAGAGGTAAATAAAATCTGGTCAAAGATTATTTTTGTCTTGAACCCAAGTTTAAAAGTACTTTTTGCTTGCATCCAAACATATATTAATTGTTTTTATATTATTTTTTTCTTCATTTTATCTTAAATTTTAACTACCTATAAGTTATTTATAAGTAAATTTTACTTAAAAAATTCTATTCAATGCCGAAAATACTTGCTAGTGACATATGAACGTAGGTCATGAATATATATAAGACTGAATAAGATGTCAAAACATTAGAGCGGGAGAAAATAAACAAAAGCAATGTTGAACGGATAAAATAGAAGGATTTTATAAGAAAGGAGAAAAGATTGGGAGCATTGAATTATAATATTTAAAATATGAGAAATTAAATGAGAATGTTGTGATGTTTAAATAAACCAAAAGTATATGATTCTACCATGGATAACTGCAATTTTCTCTCTCCAGCCTCTACTGCAATATTAATAGCCTTGAGATATATTTAATGACTCAAATTTAATCTTATAATTAATGTAACTTTTTAAATGATTAAATTTGAACTATTAAATATATTTAATGGTTATTAATATTGTAGGAGAGAGGCTGAAGAGAGAAAATTGCAGGAGAGGATCCAAATTTAGATAAAACATGTCCACTTGGGACCAAGAAGCCTGGGAATGTGACCAGCCCAATAACTGAAGGCCCAAATGAGATAAACTATGGAAATTGCTAGAAGAGAATGATTATTTTGAAGTTGACTAATTTTCATCTTTTTGTTCATTATCAAGAAGTATTATTCGTTAAGAATGAGATAAACTTCTTAAAATATTTGACATATATCAAATAGATAAACATTTTTTTTCAATTTAATTTTTTTTTGTATTTTCAAGGGTCAGAATTCAATTTCTGACTTTATAATTAAGTAATATAAGTTTCTCGACATTTGCACTAATCTAAGTTAATTGATTGATTTTGATCTAAATATGAATATTAAATTTATATATTAAAAAGGTTTCTACATTATTATTATTATAGTAGTGACAACATATTTAAGTATAATGATAAACATATTTATAATTTTATAAAATAACTTGTATTGCAAATCGGTTATTTAAATATAAACTAAGGTAATGGAGTATTAGATGTTTTAATTATAATATAAATTACAGAACACATTTTTATTAATGAAAGCTAATAATATATTATATTAAGCACATAAATAGTGAAGGTGTCCCAACCTCAAATTTGTTGTATTGTTAGGGTTACTACTTCTAAAAGATTATTCTTAAAAGGTGTCTAGGTAAATTAAAGAAGCAGTTTGCTTTTGATTTTGGTTCCTAAAAACAACTACTGCTAATTAGTAATTAGATTCTTATAAAAACTAGTACTTAAAATTAAGAACCAACCTAAGAATCATGCATTAGAAAGGACCGTGTAGATAAATTGGGAGGCATAAGACTAAATATTTAATAAATATCAATTGTATATTAACTCTTTAGTTTGGGTTATAAAATCAGTTATTAATATTTCTTATATTAATCTTCTAACATTTTTCTTTAAGTTTTGACAATCGGAAGCATATCTTTTATTTGATACTTTGTATTACTAAAATTATATAAAGTATAAGAATAAAAATAATAAATAATAATAAAAAATCATTATTACAAATTAAGGAAATAAGAGGAAATTTGAAAACGGAAATAATTATGCATTAATATTATCTATAACAATAATTTAATATGAATTATTTACTTTGAAAATTTTATTTTAAGGCTTTAAAAGAATACCAAGATGAGAAGAGACGAAAAAAAAAAGAGAAAAATTAGGATGAATAAAAAATGCATAAAAATATTAAATTTTATGTGTGAAATAGATGTTAGTTTTTTTTTTTGTTTTTTTTTTCATTTAGTAACTAACTAGTATTTTAGCTTGTATAATATACATACAACATATTATATATAATTAAAATTTATAATAATTTATATATAAATAAATAGTATATTTAAATATAAAATTATATTTAATTGTATAAGTAGATATTTTTAAACATATAAATCATATTTTAAATTTATGATAAGTAATTTATATTATAGAAAAAATTTATTCTTATTAATTAATAATTTCTTTTAAAATATTACTATTTAATTTATAAATAATTGATAAATAAAAATTAAATTAAATAAAAATTTAAAACGATTCCAACAACTCCAAAAAAAAAAGACACTCTATTGTAAAATAGCGATTCGTCTCTTATATATTAGATTGATTATTACTATTGAAAATAGTTCAAACTCATCTTTTTTATTTTTATTATTTTTATTTTTATTTTTTTTTCGTCCCTGAAGTATCTATGAATCCCTGGCTTTGCTTAAACGTGGATCAACCCCTACCGCTGAACCACACACTTAGGGTTACTCATCTTTTTTATTTTAATGATTATATGTTATTATTTTACTATTCTTAAAATAGATCTTAATAGCTAACATATATGTAATTAGATAGCTTTATCCAATTATCCTTTTATAAAATTAAAAGTCCATTTCAAATCTTAATATACAAATACTTTCTAATGTCATTAACTATTGGAATTGAATAAGTAAAAGTATGTAGCAAGCTCGTCTATTATTCAAGAATGAATATAAAAGAATATTTAAATTTATTTCTAACCACTTACATGTATTGGTATTTACTTTAATGGGAAGGTTAATATCAAACAGGGTCCATAGCTCAGTGGTAGAGCATTTGACTGCAGATCAAGAGGTCACCGGTTCGAACCCGGTTGGGCCCTTTTTATTTATTTATTTTTATTTCCTTTTAATTAATTTATTTTTATTTCCTTTTAATTTATTTAGTTATGTTTATTTCCATTTAATTTATTTAGTTATGTTTATTTCCTTTTAATTTATTTAGTTATGTTTATTTCCTTTTAATTTATTTAGTTATTTTTATTTCTTTTTAATTTATTTAGCTAACCACGCCTTTTGTTCACAACGTGGATTGCTTGCAGTATTAATTTTTGACATGCCTCTATAAATATTCTAAATTACTCTTACCTCCGATTAATGCTACTTACTATAATTAGTTTTATTATTTTTGTCTTATATTTTTAAATAAAAAGTATAGAATGTTTCTTTTCTACTAATTATTAAATAAATTTTATGTTTTATGAAAACAAAGTTTAAATTTAAAATATCATACTAGAATTTTTTCTATTACCTAAGGATTTTCCTAGGAATTTTTCATTAAAATTTGTAGGAAATAAGTTTTCTACGAATTTTTCTACAAATTTATTTTCGCAGCTAATACCTTCGTGGATAATTGTTTCTTGCCAATTTTAAAATTCGTAAAAAAAATTCTTATGATTTTTGCTATAAAAAAAACCTATAGAAAACTTTCTTGCAAAAAAAAATGGCAGCAAACTTTCTTGTGGAAAAAAAATTCTTAGAAAATTTGCAAAAATTATTCTACAAATTTTAAAATCCACAAAATTTTTGCAAGAAATTTTCCACGAAATTTAAAATTTGCAAGTAAATTTCTTGCAAAATTAAAATTTCCCAAGTAAATTTTCTGCAAAATTTCAAATTCGCAAGTAAATTTCCTAGGAAAAATCGCAGGTAATTTTTTATAATTTTTTTAATATTATGATGCCCTGCAAGTTCATAATTCTTATAATGTTCACGTATGATACTTTACTGTAAAGGAGAAGTCGGCCTATGTAACAATGAACGTTCCAGACCTTGATTTTCACAATTTTGACTTGGATAGAACTGAAAATGCCTTTGCAGAGGACCAGGTCTGGGCTGCTTACGATGATGATGATGGAATGCCCCGCTATTATGCTAGAATTCACAAGGTGGTTTCAACAAAGCCATTTAAAATGAGGATCAGTTGGCTTAACTCTCGAAGCATATCTGGCATGCATAACAGATCACTTTAGAAGGAAAATATATGAATCCATTTATAACAAAAACAGAATGCAAAAAATATTACATTCATTTCCATTCATGCACAGGAAAACAATGAACAAGACATCAAAGGCATTCAAGATATGAGAATAATGATCAAGATTCAAGATGAATATATCAATTACTGAATTACCATTTGTGCAATTCTCTTGTAACACCAGTGTCCATGGACTACCAGAAGCCGCTCCAAAAATCGGAATTGGGCAATAGCAAAGTCACTAGCCATTACTGCCTAAAAAGAACTTGCAAGCTTGAGTTCCACAAATGTTACAGGCTTCCAAACAGAAAAAAAAAAA